TTTTGCTGTTTGTTCTTCTGATAGTAACTTGTATTCCAGTAATGCCAATGAGTCCCAATCGGAGCCTCATTATGCCAGGTGCTGTACATACACATAGTAAGAGACAGTCCTGGCACCACGGAGTGTACAGTGTAACTGAATATAAGTCACAGCAAACTGATGCAAAGAAGCAAAAAAACAATGGAGGAGGAAAGACAAGGTCAACAGTGGGTATGTCGTCACTGCAGAATTAGCTCAATATTTACTCTCAAATTAACACCCTCTCACGTTAGCCTAGCTGGAGTGAGAGCAACCACTCTGCAAAATAACAATCAGGCAGCACAGAGTAGATGCATCCACACTGCATTAGGCCTGGTCTACACTGGAGGGGTGGGGGAGGGAGGGAATCGATCTAAGATACGCAACTTCAGCTACGAGAATAGCGTAGCTGAAGTCAACATATCTTAGATCGACTTAGAATCACTTACTTCGCGTCCTTGCAGTGCGGGATCGACAGCCGCCACTCCCCCGTCGACTTTGCTTCCGCCTCTCGCCGAGCTGGAGTTCAGCAGTCGACGGGAGAGCAGTCGGGGATCGATTTATCGCGTTTACACTACACGCGATAAATTGCTCCCCGATAGATCAATCGCTACCTGCCGATTTGGCAGGTAGTGTAGACATACCCTTAGTGTCAGCAGCACTCAAGCTTCAACCCCCCACTCCCTGATAGGCCAGCTAAGTTTAAAATACCACCTAATTCAAGCTAGACATATTTGTGTGTGGTTGATAGTCTGGTTAGGAGCAACACTCAAATAGCTAACACAGCAACAAAGACAAGCCCAGTGACAGGACCATGTGGTTACATAGCTCTGTGCACTATCAGGTGGTTTCAAGTCATTCAGAGTTTGGAGGTGGTTGTTTTTGTTCCAACCTCTGAGCAAATATTCTTTGTATAATTATGCCATTGCACTTATGTGCATGCTGATACGTGAGTAATCTTTATTTCCTTTCCTACTGGAGCGTAGCGGACTGAAAACCGTATCTCCTCTTCACTAATAATACTGTGTAATAAAAAACGGCATGAAAATTAATAAGATTATTTTGGAAAACTTTACCACCCATTGGTTTTCCTTCTCATACAAGGAAACAAATCTGATCATCAAAAACAATGGCGTCCCTACCGTTCAACAAATGATCACAATATAGCTGATTAATGCATATTTGCCTGGATCATCTTCTGAATCAGATACTACATTTTGAGTGTAAATAAATGGGATACATTTCCATTACTTTTTTCCTTCAAAAGTATGAATGACAAACAAAAAGAATTACACCTCTACCCCGATATAATGCTGTTGTCAGGAGCCAAAAAAATCTTACTATGTTATAGGTGAAACCACGTTATATCGAACTTGCTTTGATCCGCCGGAGTGCGCAGCCCCCCCACCCCTGAGCGCTGCTTTACTGCGTTATATCCAAAATCATGTTATATCGGGTCACGTTATATCAGGGTAGAGGTGTATTGTTCCAAACCTGTGCCTTACAGAGGTTAAGGAACAAGACAGAAGTACAGGATGTAAAGGGATCAGTGTTGCTGCTTGAGAGTGAGAAAAAAAAATCTTGAAATCCCCATTTGGAATATGCAAACACTGCATCAATCAGTGACACTGGATCTGTTACCAAATGGCGCTCCTTGAATCCTTATGCTACATAGAAACATATTGAAACTTTTCTGGCTATTTCCTGTTAGCAGAGGGTAGATTCTGCTTAAACAGTGACCACAAATGAGCTTGGTCAAACAATCATTCATTCTCACAAAGAAAGAAACTCAGGCTTAGTGTACACTACAGAGTTAGGTCGACCTAAGGCAGCTTACTTTGACCTTACTCTCTAAGCACCTAACCTAAAATGTCCCTCCTGCTGATGTCAGTTGCCCACTACACTGACTTAATAACTCCACCTAGGTGAAAGGCAAAGCAATTAAGTTGATGTACTTAGGTTGATGCAGTATCTATGTGGATAATGCGTTGCTTACATCACCAGTTGCCATTCCGGGACTGACAGACAGAGCCCCACTGCCAGCAGTCCGCCCAGGGGTGGCGGGACTCCAGTGGGCAATGCCCCACTTAAGTCGGTGCAAGTGCTCCTGGTGAGGATGCGCACAGCTGACGGAAGGAGGGTAGTGTGCACATGAACAGCCAATTTAATTACTGCGGTGGCTGTAGGTCGACCTAACTTAAGTCGATTTAATTGTGTAGTGTAGACATGACCTCATTATCACAGCATGCCACAAAGGCAGCGGAATTTATCTGACTATAATTCAGATCTGCAGCACAGCCTAGAAGAATGTCATGCCTGATAAAACCCCAAAACTACAGTCCATATAACTGATGTTTATTAGAAACTTCATATACTGCAGGTATCAAGCATCAGGGGGTAGCCGTGTTAGTCTGTATCTACAAAAACAACAAGGAGTCTGGTGGCACCTTAAAGACTAACAGATTTATTTGGGCATAAGCTTTCGTGAGTAAAAACCTCA